AACACTACCAAACACACCCTGATTGCCTGAGACAAGAAAAACCAAGAGAGAAATGCTATTCACGTATTCTGAACGCACGTTATTTTAGAGCAACCCATTTCTGAGGTTACTTTTGTCTGAAAGGAGCACAGCTTCACGTTTTACTTATTTTAGAGGAACTAAAAAACATATGTGAGCACTTCCCTTCCAGGGACTTCTTCCTCCCCCATCACAGACCTATCAGGGCTATAGCGACCACAGCATAGTTAAGGAATATTCTGTTCAATTCAGCCTTTTTCCCCCAAACGTAAAACCTACCCCAGCGGTGTTCTTCACTTCAAGTGCTTTCAGACAGAAATCCTTCAAGTTGCCATATGGATCAGTCAAGAGCTCTTTGAACTGCACATCGTAGAACAAGTTAGATCTGAAGCAAGGAGTCTTAAAGGTGGCAAGAGGCTGCTTTAGCTTAAGAGCTGCCACAATGTCCTCCTGGACCTGCCTGGTGGCAGTGGCAGTCAAGGCAACACACGGCGTATTTGGTATGCGAGAGCGCAAGGTGCCCAGTCGCAGGTAATCAGGTCGGAAATCATGTCCCCACTGGGAGACACAGTGAGCTTCATCGATTATCAGGTAGGACAAGAGGTTTCGGGACACCAGAGAGTTCAGCGTGGGCTGAAAGGATGAGGCAGCTGCCATCTCTGGGGTAATGTACAGGAGCTTTACTTGGGGCTTCTCGCTTGCTAAGTCAGCCAGGATGGTCTTCTTTTCCTGGGCAGAAAGCTTGGAGTTCAGAGAGCAGGCTTTGACCTTCAGAGCCAACAAGTGATCCACTTGGTCCTATATTAAATAAATAAATAAATAACGATTAAAAGAAAAGCAAATGGAATTGAGGAAAGCCAACCATCACCAATAAAGACTACTGGGGACATCCAGATGGGGCCCTAACTTCACCTCCAGGACTGAGTCTCAAGACAACATCCGCATACAATCTGGCTATTTAGAACCTCAACTCTAACTGCCTTTATCTTTAATTGCAAGCAAATCTGTTCAGATCTATCATCCATCTGCATTTTTGTGTCTCCATGCACTTTAAGACAGTCATTTTGCTGCTTGGAAACATCATCAGGTAAAATACAAAATACATTGTATACGTGCTAAGTACCTTGTCATATCCAGAGTGAGTTGAAACGAGTCACCTACGCATCTAAGGATTTACACTATCAAGTTGTCATACATGGAAAAAGAATAACACCACCCTTTAGTAACAGAGCACGCTTCATTCCAAAATATCTAGAGAACTTTATAAACACAGCTGAGATGAGACAAAATACAACGCTCATGCAAATCACCACTGCAACAGAACTGAGTCTGGATGAGAATCAGGCCTTGAAAATCAAGGAGGAAACACGAGATCACATTCAAATGAACACTAGACACAGAAATTCATCCGCCTGTCCCTGGACGGAGCTGTGCACTTGACTTGCACGTAACATTTCAAAAGATATGTATAATCCTGAAGAACGGATACCTCATCAGTTCACTCGGTAGTTGCTTTCCGTGATTAATTACCTCTCATTCCTAAATTTTCACATGCCTGATTTTTAATTTCAAGGCATGTGATACTCAGTTTACAGCCACTGATCTTCACCAGGTCTTACTCACTAGATTGGAGAGGTTGCCAATATCCATTGTTTTCTGCTCACAAAGTCAACTTGCATTCTTCCCTGTAATAAACTAAACAGATCAAGCACTTTAAGTTTGGCTACACTGAAATACATCAAGATCATCTCAGACACAGCCACCCTGCCAGAGGGCTGGATGAGACAACCTCTCAAAGTTCGCTCCAGCTCTGTTCCCTAAGATTCGCTGAGTCAATCTCAGCATATTTGTCACTCTGACACATTCTGCTTCATCTGGAAACCTTACCAGCGTGGTGTTTTTTTTTTTTTTTTTTACTTCTAGTTCACAGATAAAAATATTGCCTGTGCTGGAGCTGCTGCTAACTCCCCTGAAGCTTAATTAGAAATTCTCTCACTTGAAAAGAATTCACTATTTGTAACAGCTTTCTAAGATGTGCCACCAAGCCTGTTCTTAATCCTTAAAGCGCGTTATAAGAGATTATAGAGGAATTAAAAAAACCAAACAGACAAAATAGCAACTTACAAAACCAGATATCATGCAGTATTAATCGGATGCTTCACAGAAGTCTAAATTATGCTACAGCTGCTCTTGCAGGGAAGCATTTCTCCCCATAAGCGATGAAACAGTAGAAAAGGGAAAACACACAAACGTAATGTCTCACAGATGAAAGCGCTCCAGGAGCAGCTCTGTTAAACCAGCTTCTTCCCATGACAGAAAGAAAGACAGCAACAAAAGGCAGTTTGATGCAGAGGAAATTATGCCTTCAAAGGCAACTTCATTGTTTCCAGAGTTATTACTTTACAGATAAAATGGCAGTTTTGTTCCAGGGAAAGATCCAGTTTGGTCCATTTGAGGTACTCTACACATCAGTGCTTCTGTAGAGCACACTGCCACGTGGAGGTAAAAGGCAACTGGAGAAAATGGAGAAAGGATCAGTTACAATAAACACCAGGTTATTATTAAAGAAGAAAAACTTAATAGCATTAACTTTGTGAAAGAGATCTGCCATGGTCCTGCCTTTTAGAGAACTGCATAATATTAAACCAGAGTTGCTCTGTTATGCAGCCAAGCTGCAGTCTCTTCACCTATCACCACGATAAGGAAAAAACCCCAAGACATCAAGATGAGAAGCCAGAGACAGGCTAACAGCAGAGACTTCCAGACAGAAAGGCAAGATGCAGCTGTGCTTCCAGAGTTTCCTTACCCCCTTCACTGTCTGCTTTTCCACAGCTAACAGGAGACAGTTACCTGAATCAGTGCAATCAGAGGTGAAATGACAATGGTGATGCCCACTGCCAGAACTGCAGGAAGCTGGTAGCACAAGGATTTCCCTGCCCCTGTGGGCATGCATACAAAGACATCCTTCTCGCCTGCAAAGACAACAGAACAAAGCTCAAGGCTACTGAATGGCGGCAACTTCCCAGAGCTCTGTCTGGAGGGACGGGCACAAAATCTGTGAGAAACAGCATTAGTGGCCTATCTGTGCATGTACCTTGTGGCATACCAACGCAGGACGCTTCATTTTAGTTTCTAAAAGCATAGTAATACTTGGCATGCCTGCAATAGTTCCTTCAGAGAATCTCTGATCACTTTGTAAACATAGAGAAACAGGTTTACATCAGCACCAGAAGGTATACAGAAACCAAGATAAAGAACAGTTAAACAACTTATCCATATTCAGACTAATTCTCTTCCAGATGAACTGCTTTCATTCATCTGATAGACTTTCCGTTACCAGACTACCAGTCCCAATGACAGATGTTTATCATATCCTGCTAAAGTTTATCCCAGAAAGATCCCGCACAATAAGAGTTGGAAATCTTTCAAACACATGGAGAACGTTATGTAGTTTAGTAACCATCGCTGCGCCAAACAGTATCCACTTCAAATCAGAGATGCCAATGCACGCAATGTTATTTAAGAGGCAGAGACACCCCGCTGACAGAACACCGCTTTGGCAGGTCTATTATCAATAGCACCTCTGTACAACTGCTGGCAATAGATGAAAACTGTAACTATATCCTGAACGCCGAGTTTGACGCTGTTCTGATCTGCATTATGAGATCTGCCAGGAGAGCTGTCAGTCGGCAGTTCGCGCGTGCGAGCTGCCTGTCCAACAAACAGCAGTATTTTGGTGGACGCGTTAACGCCAGCACAATCATGTTTCTGATAACTTCCGCATGATTCACAGAATACATATGAACGATACCGACAAATCAATCTTCGGCTGGTATCAGCTGCGTCTACCCCACCTATAATAAAGACAGGTTTACCCTGCAAACAGATCAGTGTTTTAACCTCGTCTGACCATAAACATGCTGGCAGATGCCTCTAGCGGAGTCATGAGCAGCACAGCACTTCAATTTTACACCTTTTCTTTTTTTTCTTTTTGAGGTAATAGTGTTTTTTCTAAACAAATGCCAAGGGGAACAGGCAGAGGCAAAGCCGCGCTCGGTTTGCGACACACGGCAGCGCTCCTGCACCAGCGGGGCCCCGGAGGGCCGGGAGGGCCTTCCCGGCGCAGGCCGAGCACCTCCTCCGCAGACGGGCGGGAAGCCAAAAGGGGGAGGTTCGTCCGGGCCTCACCTTTCACCACAGCCATGGTCGCGCCTTCCTGCAGGGCGGTCTTGAAGGACTCGAAGCCGAAGACCTTCCGGAGGGTTGTCCGCACCCTGCCCGCCGGGCCCGGGCCGCGCTCCTCGCTCATCCTGGCGCCGCTGCGAACAGGCCGCAGACGGGGCGCTCAGCCCAAGCGCCGCCGCTCGCCGGACGGGGCCACCCGCGGGGGAAGGGGCCGAGCAGCGCCCTCCCCCCGGACACGC